TTATTGTTGTCTTGGCTGCTGCGGCCCATGCGGTGGAGGCATATCCCATGACCGGCCAGACTGTTCCAGTATATACTTGTTTCAGGATTCTGGAGTTTGCGCCCCATGTGGTACCCGCTAATTATTTCATCACTGAAAGCTGGTTTTTTTTTTTTTAAATCCAGATTTCGATTAGGGGGGGGGGGGGGGAGAGAGAAAAGTGATGCTGTGCATTTAAAAAAAATTTTTAGCTTTAGATCCCACTTTTCGGTCCAGGCTTCTACATTTTCCACAGTTTTCTGTAACAGATATGAGGCTGTGGTAGTGTATTCGGAGGCTGTCCGCACTGCAGTCATCGGCATGGAGGCTATTAGAAACGTGCTGGTGGCAGGTTGCTGGGATATAATTTGTCTCCTCCATTCAGGTTTTTGTGAGATTCCACAAACGTGAAGTGTCCTTCTCGAGGTTAAATGACGCCGTCTTTTATGCTATCGTTCCCTCACCTGATTTTTTCTCTCTTTGATGAAGACTGCTTTTGCTCTGTTATAAAGTTTTACATTTTCATCTGTCGGATCCTTCTCCATATTTTCCCTTCTGGTACTAAGTTTGGAAAGCAGAGTGTCCAGTTCAGACGACCAGTATGGTTTTTCCGGCTGCCTCATGGTATGCTACCATTGGCTGCATTTAGAACAGTTGTGTTGAGGATCTTCAGTTTGGCATTTGTTTCCAGTCTTCTGAAGAAGACTCTCTTCAACATGTCGTCCAGCTGGGAAGTGGCTCCAGTTAGCCTTCTTGTAGTTCCAGCTGGGATGGTTCTTTTCCTTAGTAACTTTTCTACTTTTGTTAATAGACAGGATTAAGGACATGTGATCACTGCCTTCCAGCTGCTCACATACATCCCCGCTTGTTACTTTCTCCACATCTTCAGTAGCTACAGGGTGCTAGTTTTCCTCCAAGCTCGAGAGCAGTATGTGTCTGGGTCGTCACGATTATTTATCAGAACTAGGGTGTCGATGATTATCCAGTTTTCTACCTCTTCTCCTTTCGCATTGAGGTCTGTGTAGCTCCAGCTGGGTGAGTGGCTATTAGGAACTCCAACTGCAATCCAGTTTTCTGTGTTTAGTTGGATGGGTCCCAGATTAATATTTATGTTTGGTGTTGAGTAGATGCTGCATACTGTCGCATCTCCCCTTGCACCCTTGATTGTGACTGTGATAAACTCTGTGTTCCCACACTGAGATATCTAGGATTCTCAAGCTGTGATCGTGTTCTTGACAACAGTCAAGACTCCTCCTTTTGGACGATCTAACTTGTCGTGTCTGAAGATTTGGTATCCCCTGATAGATAATCGGTGTGCACTTGTGAGGGGAGTTTCTTGAATGCAGCATATGTCAATATCGTTATGCTTCGAGAAATTTTTTAGTTCTGTTTTCTTCAGCCTCACTCCCTCAGCATTCCAATGCATAATTGTCAGTTTGTGTCCAATTGCATTACTCTTTTCTTCACTGGTCACTGCAGAAGATTTAGAGGTTGTGGCTCTCGTAGCTTGGGGTGGACCCCTTCGAGGCAGGGAGCCCGGCGCCATCCCTACCCGTCCACGTCTCATAGGAATGACACCATATCGTAATAATGTTGTTTGCATGACCATATCGTTAATGCGTAGATGCCCGATTTTTGGTCCTGTGCCAAATAGGGAAAGAAATACTATCTTTATTTCTTTTGTCGTCTTACTGATACCAGACTGTAGCCCAGTGTCTTGGTTTTCTGTATTTCTTTGTGCTTCTCCGGTGGCTTGGATGATGGATTTATTCATCTTTTTGCAGGTTTTTAGCTACATCCTTTATCCATCTCTTTCTTGGTTTTCCCCCTGCCTTCCTTCCAGATGTTCTGCTGTAAAAAATCTCATATGCAGTTTGGTCTGCTGCGTTCTCACCAAATTACAGAACCATTTTATTCTTTGCCGGTCAAAATAATCCAGACATGGTTTTATTTCACCGTTCTCTATAATGCTTGTATTTCCAACCCTGCTTCTTCCTGTGTTGCCGGGGATCTTGCGGAGACAGAGCATTTCACATATAGCTATTTTCTGTTCTAGTGCCCTATTCATTATTTGTGTCTGGCACTGATAGCATAAAGGCTTACATAGCATGCCGAGAAAGGGGAATCTCAGATGTTCACCACTGTGCTCATACAAATGGGCTGTGTGCGCACTGCAGAAAATGTCCTGCAAGGCTTCCACTGTACAGTCCATTAAGAAGGGAGTATCAGCCAATTAAGTCAACAACATATTCAAAGTTGTATGCACAAGAAAAGAATAAATGAACTAAAACAAAACTCGTGTCACCGTGTTAGTGTAAGACACTTTTTGTTGGGGGTGCCTGGTTGACCATGTTCTTAGTGCAATTATATTCATGGCGAGGCGCAGACGTCTGGAGGTGACAGGTTCAATTCCCGGCACGGTAACTATAGCTTTCGATTTTTATGTTGTCTAGTGTGTTCTTCTATCTATCTACTTCTTTCTATGAGTGCCGATCAATACACTTTCTCATCTGTTACTTGATTAATTCATAGTATAAATCGGGAAACAAGTTTGTGTGCTGACACTTCCATGTCATGCTAAAAAGGTTACCAAGAATCTGCTAGCGTCGTCTTCCCATCTCTCCCTTCCCACAGATCTTTTTATTTATTGCAATATTTTTCAGTTTATTTCTTTCCATTACATAGGGAAAAAAATGAAGTGCTTCCTTCTGACTTCAGCTCGTTCGTTCACACACAACATTTAACAACAGGAAGGATAAAAACCTGGCAAATGTTTAATGGCGGAAACTCACAACGACATCAAGAACAGACATTTGCAGGTTGGAAATCACGTTTGGAATTGTCTGATAAATTGGCAACTGTAAGTTATTAGTTAGCAGTAAATTAGTCTTATGCAAAATGCAGATATAATATGCAAAATGTAGCTGTGAATAAAAATAAGTTCTTCTCTGCTGTCTAAACTGTCTTTAATCTACCGCATCTCATTTTGTTTGTAACTGTAACGACTGCGGCCACGGGGACGCCTGTCCTGTGGTCAGTGGTACACCGTACTCCAGCCAGCCAGGCAAAGCAGTAGTTATGACTATTGTGTACAGTGTTTACTAGCAGTACTGTTGCCAGAACAGTAATTTTATTACTAATTATGTTCTGTGTGAATTAGTTGTTACCGACAGTGATTGTTGTCAGGTTTTTTTCACTCTGTACACTGGTGATAACACACAGTACCGGTAATGAGTACGGGCACCTTAAAAAAAAAAAGATAATTAAATTAAAATTAATTCAGTTGAGTGCATCATTCATAATTTTTTCAGTGCAAATTTAATATAGACACTTTCTCTTGGTTACATTCATTAACTTTTGAAATAAAAACTGAAGATGGGACAAAATATGTAGTTATAAAAGTTTAAATAAAAAAAAAAAGTAATAAAATTATAAATAAATTGAAATATAATATGTGGGTTTCTAATTTCTTCAGTTACTTACACTGTAAACTCACTGTAACTAAAAAAAACCCACATTTATAACTTACAGCAGCTTTCGTGGGGTATGATTATAATTATATTATTATTAAATGTAATTGAAATAAACACACAATGTAAACCAGCGGTTCTCAACCTGCCAGGTTTTTTTGTTTATTGGGAAACACATATTCATTGATTGTTTGGGAGTCACCACAACATGAGGGAAATGTATTAAAAGGTCGTGGCATAAAGAAGGTTAAGAGTCACCGATGTAGACGGTAAATTATGCATGTTGTCAGACTTTTTTTGTTAGTTTACCCTCACCATAAATAACACAGCGGTAACCCTAAAATAACTTTTCCTAATTGGAGAAAACAAATTTTGCATGGCATACTCGAGTTCTTATAGCATTCACCGGATGCAACTCTGGATTATTTGTTTGCAGATTGTAGCTTTCTTGCCACTCAGGCAGATACACTCTTGATTTCAAAGTAAATACTCATTTTTTGATATGCTTGTTGATGTTTGGGGGGGGGGGGGGCTGTTTGATCTCCCCCCCCCCCCACCCCCCATTTAAATGGGACTATGGAATCTATATGAGTTGACAAGCACAAAAATTTGCATTTTTTTTTTTCAGCCACTTGGCTTTATTCTTCATCTCTAGTAGAACACAGTACCCTTAGCTGAATGATACCAGGTTATCCTATTCTTTGTATTTGTCATCATTTGCAGCTCACTCCAAATCCTCATCTTCTTATCCTAATTCTCTTCTTAGGTTTTTTTTGTGTGGTTGCATTGACTTTTTTAAACTAACTTCGATAATCCACGTACTTGACACGTCCAGTTTGTGTCGTGCCCTGTAAATATCACTTTATTGACATTGATATATAGGCTTGTTCACATGAAACTTAACCAACAGCATTAGGTCCATTTGCGCCTGTGCATTTGTTAAGGATGATCGGGAATGATTATATTTGCTTAAAATAGCATTTTGGGGTAAGGGTTTCTTGTTACAAATTGCCTTTTAAATATAAACTAGGACATCATAATTTTTTATTGAACTTATGGGTAATGCATATTGGGAGAGTGATGTAGCCTGGTTAATTCTCTGCTGCATTCGTTTTTACTGATTACTGTTAGTCTATATGGAATGTAAATTGTTCCCATTAATTTTCTTAGGATTTTTTCGTCCGACCTGTGTAAAATGTATTTTTTTTTAAAGGATTTTTCTGGGAATTCTGGAAAAACTGGTCATTAGTTTGTGTGTTTTTAGGCCAGTTTCAGAATTGAGAGTTTTCTTTGCTGAAGATACTAAAGAGAGACGCAACTTCAGAACTTGGCAGACATGATAGTTAGACTATTACATTTTAGTACACAGCAACACAACACAGGTAATGAACGATACAGTATTCTTCTTACTTTTTTTTTAAAGTTATGCATTTGCACAGTCATTATCAGTTTTCATGTATTCATTTAGGTTACAGTAGTCTGATGCAGGAATAAAGAAAGAACTGCAACAAGATGTCCAAGAAAAGACCAACTGAAAGCTCCTGGGATAGGTAAGATGAAAAAAGGATTGTTATATTTTTACAAATTAATTACTGATGTCGAGGAGCAGCTGGCCGAACGGTTGGAACGCTGGGCTCTAAAGTAGGAGACCTAGGTTCGAATCCTCAGTAAGGTTGGGAATTTTTGTGTGTGGGGGGGGGGGGAGGGGGGGGGGGGGGCAAAATAAAATCCTAGCCTGCACAGTCTTGGGAGCAGCACTAGCCATACAGCCGTAAATCCTAAGGCTTAAAACCCCCCCCCCCCCCCCCCCCCCCTAACTCCTCGTCTACACTGACCAACCTTTATGGGAGAATACGGAAGAAAAAAGAACTGATAGAACTTGGAAATTCATCACAAATTTTTTTAATCATTCCTGATTTCAACCCATGACCTTTCCCATGTACGTTCTTAGATCTCATAGGGCAAACAAGATTAGACCCACTGCCTCCCCAGCAAGCATCTCGTAAGAGTAAACTTACCTGGGGCACACATTGAAGTTAGAGTACATCTGCCTGAGAACCAAGGAACCAGCAGCATGCATACAGATGAGCCAGATGTGTGAAATAGATGTGCATGCAGTACTCAGAGTCTGCAGTAAAACTGAAGTTCGGTAGTTGACAAATGCCCAGAACTTTCTGCTGGGGTTTACAGCTGGTGAATGAGAAGAAGAAAAAGAAAACATGACCTTTACACTGTTCTTTATTAGGCCACTTCGGTCTGGGATGGAGGAAGAAAAAGGATTCCACAAGTAATTCAGAAAGTAAATTCTATGTCTTCAGTCGAAGTCATTAGGTCCAATTCTTTGAGATGTCTTGGCATAGCTGTTACATAAACAGAGGAAAAAGGCTATTTGCAACCCAATCTTTTGCAACCTTACTCTAACCCCATCAAAATGACCTTAGGTCATCAGAAATCTGCTACTTCTACTTGTCATAATTAGTGGTTTATAGGGGATGCACAGTGCTGAACTACATGTAGTTGTGTAACAGGACCAAGGGCACAGATCGGTCAGGTCCTCTCTACACCTCTCCAGTCATCTTAGAAACAACCAACCTAGATAGGATCGACATTTCAGTTTACAGTTGGCGAACACAAAGTGGAAGAAGGTGCCATATGTTTCTTATTAATATTTATTTCATGCTGACTTCATCCTCAAACAGCTGTTACAATATACATTTATAAGTGCATACATTTACAAATGCAGATTGTTTTCTCAGAAATAAATCTGGTGTTGAACCATTAATGTATGTGATTCAACTCTACCAGGACTGTACAATGAACGACCTACACCCGGTGAAACAAAATGCCACCATTCAGATGACGATCACCCGGGCACAAATCCCAGAAACCCCGTTTAACCATTAGGTTATATTAGGGCCTCCACCTACAGCTGGAGTGGGGCCTTAAACTAACAAAGAAAAATTACATCTCCTATTGAGATGCAAATTATGATTCTAGGTTTATAATCCATTAGTTATTTTCATTCCAAAAATTACCACATAGAATAGAATTCATGCATGATGTACACTAAATAATACTACTCTAAAAATAAATTTTTTGTCTTCAGCACAGAGAGTTCATTTTAGTAAGTGTCATCATTATGGCAAGAATATGTCTGTGTGAGTGTAAATAATATCCATATGTTTGGAATCTTATAGAAACAGTTTAGTAGTGGTAGTGATGTGGCATGAATGTGGATTGAAGAAAATACCTATCCATAGAGTCGTATGTTTATCTTATCCTTATCTGTATTTTTAGGGGGTTCTATTTAAATCCTTTTGTTTTATTTAAACTAGCGATGAGGAGCTCTTGAATGACACATCTGGAAGTGCAGTTACAGCCTTTCCAAAAGCATCAGAGGTAATAATATTGACTGAAGTTTATGTTTGATAGAAGTGATATTTTTATATATGAATTTTATAAATTTAACTTAAAAAAAAAGAGGCATTGATAAACAGGTAAAGTAACAGTGTTCAGAGTTTTCTGAAGTGTATATTAGTAACACATTTTTTTAAACAGTCTAGCAGTCATTTTAGTCTGGAAATGGAAGTACTTTACATCTCTCAGCCCAAAGATAAATTGAACTTAAAAATGTGTGTGTGTGTGTGCTTACTTACAATTTAATGAGACTTATTTCTTTCAAAATAGTTATCCCCCATCATTTATTCATTTAATATTTCCCCCTCCCCCCATCTCAGAACATCAGTTTTGCTTTGCAGAAAATGTATATTTTAATAGATTGTTATAATTGTGTAACTACCTGTCTTCCATTATTGCTTTATGTGTGTAGCTACCTCAGTCTTCCATTATTGTTATAATTGTGTAACTACCTCAGTCTTTCATTAATTTTATAATTGTATAACTAACTCAGTCTTTCATTAATTTTATAATTGTGTAACTAACTCAGTCTTTCATTAATTTTATAATTGTGTAACTAACTCAGTTTTCCCTTATTGTTATAATTGTGTAACTGTCTTAGTCTTCCATTATTGTTATAATTGTGTAATTTTCTGTCTTCCCTTATTGTTATAATTGTGCAACTGCCTTAGTCTTCCATTATTGTTATAATTGTGTAACTACCTGTCTTCCATTATTGTTATAATTGTGTAACTACCTGTCCTCCATTATTGTTATAATTGTGTAACTACCTGTCCTCCATTATTGTTATAATTGTGTAACTACCTGTCCTCCATTATTGTTATAATTTTGTAACTACCTCAGTCTTCCCTTATTGTTATGATTGTGTAACTGCCTCAGTCTTCCCTTATTGGTATAATTGTGTAACTGCCTTAGTCTTCCATTATTATAATTGTGTAACTACCTGTCTTCCATTATTGTTATAATTGTGTAACTACCTGTCTTCCATTAGTGTTATAATTGTGTAACTACCTGTCTTCCCTTATTGTTATAATTGTGTAACTACCTGTCTTCCATTATTGGTATAATTGTGTAACTACCCCAGTCTTCCATTATTGTTATAATTGTGTAACTACATGTCTTCCCTTATTGTTATAATTGTGTAACTACCTGTCTTCCATTAGTGTTATAATTGTGTAACTACCTGTCTTCCCTTATTGTTATAATTGTGTAACTACCTGTCTTCCATTATTGTTATAATTGTGTAACTACCTGTCTTCCATTATTATAATTGTGTAACTACCTGTCTTCCATTAGTGTTATAATTGTGTAACTACATGTCTTCCATAATTCTTTATATAATTGTTTTGCACTTTCTGGTGAACAGCTTGATCTCCTTGGGGATGATGGTGAGCTGGATGAAGATGCCCTGCTGGGTGTTGATGAGACAGGCACAAAAACCACCACCATATCATTTAATAACGATTCTCTATGGCCACTGACTACCAGGTATGTTGTTTTTTATATTTTCTGTTTTATTAGTAAATTGTATCCATGGTTGTCTTAATTTCCTCTGTGTTAAAGACAAATCCCAAGGGGCAGATTCATTTCTAGCCAAGAGTAAATCCCACTCAATGGAAACAATCTGCTACTAAAACACTATATTTATTCAAGTATCTAGAAATAATAGGGAATGAAAAAAAAAAAAGAATCAAACCCATCTGTCTGTATACTATCACACTGGATACTCCTAGGCGTCTGTGTGGGAAATTTCATGTGAAACTATAGCAGACATGGAAGTCTACTGGAATAAAAGTCTAACATGCATAAGAAAGGCACTTATTTTGCATAGGTAATCAGAATCCTAGATCTGCAGGATGCTTCATGCTGGCTGCTAAAGGCGCAACCTGTGATGAGAGAGAGGCTCAGTATACAGAAGTGAAGTTAAACAGTCATGAGCAGGATGTGATGATTCCTTGGGTAAGCCCATGTATTGGCTCTGCCTTTATTGTAGCCTTTTTTGGATAGGCTACTCATGTCTACGCCTGCCTTCTCTTGAGGGCTAACCAGCATTACATGGCTGTTATGGATCGGCCTGATGGGTGGTACAATCTGCAGGCAAACAAAGATGGCCAAAAAACGACGACATAAAACTAACCAAGAAGGCTAATCCAGGCAAGAACACTTTCATGTCCTCGGATGAATGAAGAAGTGCTAATTTCAGCCTTTAGTTCCTCATGTATGTTGTAGGACCCCAGTTTTGGATAAATAAAATAAAATTATACTTTAATATAAAATCATAGGGAGTCCCCTACTGTAATAATGCTTTGTCTAGGTTCTATCTGGGCACATGAACACACTCTGATCCTACCCTGGTACAGTTGTTCTGTTAGTACAAACCTAGTAAACATAGATTGCCTTGGTACCCTGTTAGCGCAGTCGCTACGAGACTCGCTTTCAAATCCACCTGCGACTCGCTGCAGCCCAGGTCAGTATTCAAAACGGGGCGGTTTCCGGGGTTCACCCAACCTCTAGGAAATGGGTACCAGAGTTGACACTAGGGTAACTGGAGAACGTCGCTGTAGCTATGGAATTACGTGGGACGGCGACAGGGGCAGACAGTTTCTTATCAGCTGTCCGTACTGGTGGCAGAGCACTTATAGTTTATAACCGTGTGCAATGACGCTGGTTCACATCTCCTGACTTTACCTTTTACCGTTATAGTAGATGAAGACACACCCATTGGCAATTATCAATTCTTTATTGCTGCTCCAACAACTGTACAGTCCGGTCAGTGTTCTGTGTTCTCACTATTATTACAAGGGCCAAATCATGAATACTGCTGTATAAACATCACAACTCAAATCTAGCTGTAATTACCTTTCTGTCTATACATCTCATTCATGCCGATCACTTGGGTTTCCCATCTAGCATAGCAGAATTTCACAGTCGTTGACGTTGGCTTCAGATTCACAATGACCCAACTATGTTTCTTCGAGTCTCGGGAACTTTCATACAGTATCATCGACATCCATTCGTAACAGTCGCTCCTTTCTGCAGTCGACCTCTCACACTGTCGTCCAGACACCAACTGACACTATATCATCTCCTCATTCAGATGTTTTTTTTCCAATCCCATGCTTTGTCATTACAACAGAATCTATGCCGTCACCTTTATGTGGAACATTAAAAAATTGTTGTCAGTATCATTATCTTTTAACTTCTTCTTTCCTTGCTACACTTATAGCATCGAGGTGTGGGAAGAAAGAAAATGATCTTTGTGTGTGTGTGTGTGTGTGTGCTAATGCATTACATAAGTTGATTTTAGTTCTTTGAAGCTGTTCTTAGTGCTGCCAATTTTTTTTTTGCATAGTCATCCCTTTGCTTTGTGTTCATTTTCTTCGGCTTGGCTCTTTGTGACAGTTGGTACCAAGGCAATCTACTCATATGGCCAAACCATCTCATCTGTTGCTCTTTAACCTAATCATTGCCAACCTTGTTAGGTGAACCCTGTTTGCACACATATGATTCTTCTTAGGCATCACTGGTTGGCTGAACCTGTCATAGATTCATTTTTAACATCTCATGTCTCCCTGTTAATGCTTGTAAACAGTAGTTTCAACTAAAGCTCTTGAATATGACATTTTAGATCTATATCCGGTTATTGATAAACATTACTCTCAGTGTGGGTTCCCGAACTCCAACGAGGAGGAGGGTGGGGTTAGACACTGCCCTTCTAACAAGCATGTTGTAAAAGGTAACTGACTAGTGGTGCCTCTTCCAGAGAGATCAGTAGCAAACAGTCTGCATACAAATAAGCCAGATCTGCAAAAAGAATGTGTATGCATAACTTAATTTCTAGGGGACAAGGCCAAACTTAAGAAGTGAATAAACCACCAGAACTTTCTGCAGGCGTTTACATCCGTGAATGCTAAGAAGAGGAAGAAGAAGATAGATGTTACCAGAGTGAAAAGCGAAGAAAGAATACCAGTACTGTAGGCTATTCTAAATATTGTTTGTTGAAGGGGACTAAAAAGGATTGGCTTGAGACTGGCCACATCATTGCATAAAATCATTTAGCTGCAGAATCCAACCAGGCATGAATGAGTCTAGTAAGGGAAAAAAAGAAAAATCACTCAACCAGGAGGCTACGTTTCTAGAAATTTGTCCCGCTAAATCCAGCCAACCATGAATGAGTCTCCTAAGTGAATAAAAGAAAATCACTAAAATGAACCAGGATGAAAGAAGGCTAAGTTTCTAGAAATTTACATGATGTGAAGAAGACGGTTGATGGCACCTTTCTGTCTTTCCAGAGGCCAGTGTTCCATTGTTATAGAGAGGTATTGGAAATAGCACATGGTAGTTGTAATTAAGGTCAGGGATGAAGTGTGCCTTGTCTATAGTTCAAAGACTGGGCATTATTTTAGAGACCATACAGTATGATCCCTCACTTGGCTTGCTTTGTTGACTTCAAAAGAAAAGTAACACCAATATATTTGGAACAAAACATGCTGCAGAGAAGAAAAGGGATACAGACTTCTTTCGTGTAGGAAAATCTCAAGGATCGTCACAGGGAATGTTTTCTCAAAGAGGATTCTTTATATGTTCAGAAGAGTGATTTTTATTTCCATTGGTTGAGAATCCACTTTGTGAACCAGAAAAGTTACCTTTATGTTAGACAGCAATGGGTGTTGTCGTTTGTGATAATTCTTAAGTACAAAGTAAAGGAACCTTCTCACACCTTTGGCATATAACGATAGACATATTTTTATAGACCTGTTGACACTTGATGGAGATGTGGTTAATATCTTGTTGACTGCCCTTATTTCCAATGACACTTTATGATACCTGGTTTAGAATTGGTTGAAATGGTAACCACAATAAATTTGGGAGAGAAATAAAAATTACAATAAATCTGCCTCAATTCTGATTTTCTAGCCCCTACCCTACTGCTTTTCTGGTGATAATTCTCTTTTGACATTTATTGCCTTTAATTTTCTTAACCAGTTACAATCTTTATTAATTTCTATTTATACTTTGATAAGTTCGTGAAGCATCAAAATATATGTAAATATTTGTTTGTTACTGGTCGTTATTCTCCTAAAGTTCTTCACAGATTGCTTTCAAATTTTGACACTACGTTGCATTTAAATATGCATAAAGGACCAGTGAAAAGGTTGGGGGGGGGGGGGGGGGGAATGACAGAAACTGTTAACTGAGAGAGCTTAAAACATGATTTTAAAGTTTTCATTTTTTAAATTATTTTTAAAAAACGCTTTCTCAGATATTCTATTTTGTTGTTGTTGCAAATTTTGTTGTTTATTTAGAACTACAGTACTAAGCTTTTGCTTTCAGTTATAAAAAAAAAAAAAAAAGCTTTAGCGTGTGATAAACATAAAACCTTTTTTTTTTAAAAGTTTAAATAAACAGTTTAAACAAGCACTAATAAAATGACACAATTATCAGTTGCATCTTCTAGAGTCAACAAACCAGACTATCTCTATATCTGCGCATACAATGATTGTTGAGTTAACCATAATAGACACGTGTCCTTTCTATTTTCTTTTCCATTTAGCCACACTGAGCCACAATGCATGGCAGGGTACAGCTAGTGATGGAATAAGAATGTGGAATCTGTTTAGGGGGAAATGATCAATTTTAACCATTGCAGTTCATTAAATAATTTTTTTTTTCTCTCTCCTACCAGGCAGAGGTCCAAAACTTCAATTAGTCATCAGGTATGTTTTTGAATGTTTATTTTTTTTTACTGCAGAGTTACATAGTTGGCTTCAGAGAAGTAACAAACAGATGAAATGTTAAAATTGTTAAATTTGTTACTTTATCATCATCATTATCATCATGTAGCAGGTCCTTTGCAGAACGTTGCTCTCATGAGTCTGCCTGAAAGAAACTCGCCTTCTTCGTGTTGGTCAGCCCCTGCCCCTCCTTCCTGGTACCATGCCTTCTGCTGTTATTTTTTCCAATCTGTAGTGGCGCTTGATATGACCAAAATATTTTCTCTTCCGAGACAAGATGCTGTTTATTAGCCAATCTCTTCAGTCACTCCAGTCTGGAAAATTACCAAGCATACGGACACTATTATCCGAACTAGGCAACCGCTGTAAATTAGTAATGCAGTGGATACCTTCCCACTGTGGAGTTCCCGGAAACGAAAAAGCTGATAAACTAGCTAAGGAAGGTGCAACTGAAGAACAACCTGACATACCAGTCTCTTATCAACAGAAGAAGAGAATGATCAAATCAATCAGAATGCCACCGAAACTGGCACAAGATGATTACCATATTATGGACAGATCAGAGCAAGTTATTATCCTTCGCCTTAGAACAGGGCACAATAGACTTTCGCTCCCACATGTACAACAAATTTAAGATTGGCCAACGCCATGTGTACTTGTGGACTGGCACCTGAAACAACAGATCACATCCTTCAAGACTGTCCCCATATTCAACGCTTTCAGACAAAACATTTGGCCAAAAGAGACACTTGTAGAAGTCAAACTTTACGGGCCGCTTAGTGAATTACAAAAGACAGTGAAATTCATACAAGAGACGGCTTTGCAGATATAGACAATTTATTTCATGCGAACGAAAGAAGAAGAATTAGCCAATCTTCCTTGATGTTCAGATCTTTCAAGATGTCAATATTTCTCCTTTTTTGTTACTTTCTCTTTTTTTTTAAATAAATTTCTCACAGTGACTTGCCCATGAATCCATGTTGATTTTAACGAGATATTCTCCAGTTTCCTTGAGATATCCACTGTTGAAGCCTATGATGAATTTAGTGTGATAGGCCAGAGGTGCTTGACTGGATTGCATCCATGATATTGAAAGGATTGTGCAGGATGGAATGGAGAGCTAGACTGTGGGCCCTAAGTGACGTTTAACAGGACAAGATGATGATGAGTGTTTTGGATATTTTAGTGGCTTCATTTGCTGTTTACTTTTTAGTGTGGGTTCCAAGGCTATGTTTTGGAGAATAAAGAAGAGACCCCCCCTTCCCCACTGTCATAGTAGGCGACTAATTAGAGGTGTTTTCTTCAAAGCTGGAGTGCATCTGCTTGAGAGGCTAGGAACCTACAGTGTGCACACAAATTAGTAGGATCTGTAAAACAGTTAAGTTCTTAAACAGGACTACAGTCCAGAGGTGGGCAAACAACCAGAATTTGCAGCCAGTGAATGTGAAGAAGAAAACATATGCCAACCAGAACTTTCTGCTCGAATTGGTGAAGAGTAAGAAGAGAAGGTCGGCGTCTGTGGCTTAGGTGTTGCGCACACACTTTGTGCACATGAGTTGCCGGTTCGATTCCACCTTTGGATGGTTTGTCTTGCGTTGGTTTCAACAGTCATACAGAGAGCTGAACTTTTTCAAACTACTAAACATAAAATTTGCCTAGAAAAAAATGCTGTGGTTGGTTCTGCAACGTCCTATAAAGGGTACACAACTAACTTTTTAAAAAGAGAAGGAGAGAGGAGTTTATAGTTGAAATAAAAAAAAATATTTGCTGTTCAGCCTATTAAAAAAACAAAAAAATATCTGCATATTTAACGAATGTTGGCTCTCTGAACTATCTTTTTTTTTATGGTAATGAACAGGAGCAGGTTGCTGCGAGCAGTGAGCAAGCATTTGTGTTTGAAGAGACAGACACTGCTGACTTAGAAGATGAACTCAATGTTGGAGGACAGGAGGAGGACGGGTCTAGTTACCATGTGGAAGGAGATGATGGCTATGGGACAGGTTTATACCACCAGGGTGATGATAGCAGCTCTGCAGATGTGATTGGTTCTGGTGGTGATCGTCATGTGAACTTTTCAGTCCACGGGTGAGACCAATCATTTCTGTGAATTGTATTCTTTTGTTCAGAATTGTGGTCTGTTTTTTCCCCGCTTGTGGGATCTATCTAGGGTTCCATTCTGGTGAACAAAAAATACTGAATACTGTTCTGCAATAAAAAAAAAAAAAATTCGCCTCCGACAACCACCTGCTGTTGGCAGCGAGCCGCCAAAGGTTGCGGTTACATTTGTGGTCTGATTTATTTGCAACACTTAAGATTCTGGCATGTGTGCCAGCTCTCCGGCTTAATGCCCCTGTCCTCTCAGGCAGACCTGACCTTTTGCCCCTCTGAAAAGCATGTTGTAAAAATTGACCAAATAGGGGTGATGCCTTCAAAGTTGAAGTGCATCTACCTGAGAGGTGAGGAACCAACAGTTTGCTTATAGATAAGCTAGATCTGTAAAACTGATATGTACGCAGAACTTAAGTTCTGCAACAAGACTAAAGTCCAGAAGTGGATGAACAACCATAATTTTCTGTCAGAATTTATGGGCTGTAAATGCAAAAAAGAAGAGTTCTGTAATTATTGTTATTTTTTTTCTTCTAATTATTTAATGTCTGTGGCTTTTGGAAAAAAAGAATTAGAAAATTCAGGTCTCATTTCATATGTTTAGGTTATGTTTGGTGTCTGTTTAAAAAGAAAGCTACACAGAATATAAAGAAGAAACCTGTTTTAGCATTATTAATTTTATGAAAAGGGAAGGTGACCCTGTCATATTATTTGCAGAAGTCTGAATAGAGAAAATAGTATAGTTTCTGATGAAAGTATAATTGAGCAGTGGCAACATATAAAAAACCATTGGCTCATTATAGTTTTTATGAATGAGTTTTAATCAGAGTGCTTTATTCATATTTTTTAAAAAAGATACAAGCATTAAACAACTTTCACCATCATTAAAGTGACTGTCAGTCCTTTTTTTGGGGGGGGGGGGAGGGGGGGGGGGGGGACAAATTTATGCAAGTTGATTATTACTCATGTTAGTTCATAATTTGTAAAATTAATTAATTGTTTTAGTTTAAATAACAAATAATAAACTCTTTGTATCCCAAAGAACGCACCATACGTTCATAGGTTCCCACCTAGAGGCCCAATCAACGCAAGATGCGTCAATTTTACATCTCTCTTGACTACCCCTTGGGCCTCTGATGCTAAACCCCCTGGGACTCAAAGAGTTAATAAATGTATTATGTATTATAATAATGATTTGTAAATTTGGTACTAAGTATTTGCAGAATACATCATTATTTTTGTCAAAGCAATACAATATTTATGGATGTATTTAAAAAAAGAATGTGATGGCAACAAGAGTGTCAGTATGTTACTCAGTGAAATATTCAACAACTAAAACATTTATGTACTGATTCGATACCAGAATGAACACATCTGATAGTAGAGAAATTGGCTACATTGCTGATCAGACATCATACACTGATGAGAATGGTGCTGAATTTGGAGACGTCTCAGCCAGTGGAGACTACATTGGGGAAGCAGCTCATCAAAGTCATGAGGATGCGTCTGGAGTGGAGTTGGAGTATGAGCAGCCTGTTGAACATGATGAACAAGTAAGATTTGTCTTCCTTTTGTGTGTGCTGTCTTTTATTTCCTAATGGGGCAAGGATCCTTGAAAATCTCAGTTTAGTAAACCCTTCTCATCATTTGCAGCTCATCTCTATGTCCTCACTTTATTATTCATCAGTCTTGCACACTCTTCTTTTTGCTCCTCCGAATTGACGTGATTGCATTATGCCTGTTAGCTGCAGTCCTTGGCAATGTCTTATTTTCCTCTTTTGATTCACAAGTTTTTCTCTGGTTCTCCTAATGAGACCCACTTTGGTGATTGTTTCATACCATTTACATTCTTCTATTTTGCTCAGGCAGCAGTTTGTAGTGCATTGGTAATTGTTTTAGTTTTTCTCTATTTTTGACCTACGTTAGTTAAATAGCCCATTACTTAAATATTCAAATTTTAATAAGATTTATGTTAACTACCTAAACATAACTTGAAAGTTTCGGAGATTGTTGTCATCTGGGTTCTTCAGTGCCATTCTAATGTGGCTTTAAGAATCCATAGAATGAATTGATGGTTGTTAGAGATGATTATAGGGGATTTTTAAACTCTCTCTCTCTCTCTCTCTCTCTCTCTCTCTCTCTCTCTCTCTCTCTCTCTCTCTCTCTCTCTCTCTCTCTCTGTGTGTGGGGTGGGTGGGTGTGTGTGTGTGTGTGTCTCTCTCTCTTCACTGGTGCTTCACCAGACCTGAGTTCATGCATTTTTATTGGTTTAATTAATGGTTGTTTATTTTCTGTATTTTGAAGGTACATCTGGAGTATGATGATTCACACAATATAGACCATGATGGCCATATGGAGTCTGAAGAGGTAGCCTCCTTTTTCTACATATGTATATTTACCAAATGTACTATTTGAATTTTTTTACAGCTTTTTTCTTTGGCCTTTAATTTTGTAGGCAGTGATTTTTTTATTGCAACATTGCCTCTTTTTCTTTCTTAGATAACCACATCAGTAAAGTCGGCAGTCTGTTTTAGGTGTCATTCTTCACCACAGTTTTTCTCATCAGTAAATTGATGTTTTGCTGCATCATTGTACTAGACCACTCATTGAACTGTTCAATTAAGAATCAACATCACACAGCACTTGGGACATTCCAATAAGCACTCCGTCTCCATCTTCGTCAGCAAGCGCAGTCTCCCAGTTCTAATGATACCAGTAACAGTCTGTCTATTAACTCCTTCTCGCCTTTTCCTTGAGTGTTAAGTGCAGACCGGATTTCTGATCACTTCTTACAGCACCATTCTCCTTAGACTGTGATAATCCGTTTGTGCCTCTGTACTGTTTACCCGCTTCCAAAGGAACCTTATATCATCCAGCTTGTCGTGCATCAGTACACCATCAAGTGGTGCAAAACCAGCCAGTCTATCTGCCTGTTTGTTTCCCAACACACCAGCATCTCGTGGAGAAAATATTCAAAGTACGCTAACTACCTGGGGTCTCTGAAGCGATGCTTGCCACTCTGCACAGAGCATACCTATCTCCACCTTTACAGCATCTGTCACAGTGCATCTGCCTGAGATGCAAGGAACCAGTAGTCTGCATTCAAATAACCAGATGTGCATAATGGATGTGCATGCAAAACTCAGTTCTGGATCAAGACCCAAAGTCCAGAAGTGATCAAACAGCCATAACTTTCTGCCACAGTTTACAGGCCAGCGAACACTTAGAAGAAGAAGAGAGGACTGAGCCTGCAAGTGCAGTGACATCAGTTGAGATAATATAAGAACATGTTTGCACAGTAGTGCTTGTCAGGGAGTGATGGGCTTTAGATAGCTATTGAATCCACCATGCTGAGTTCAAAATTTACAAAGTGAGATTCTGTTTTCCCTTCGCTAAGGCAGTTCATATTGTAAACTACAACACAGTTTGCCCTTTAACGGGCAGATACAGAAAAATTCTTAGCTGTCAGCAAACTACTTATAGCACACAGCACCATTGAAACGGAAGGTTTTGTACACATTAGAAAACCTATTTAAAAAATGCTGAATAAATTATCACTTAAATTTTGTTCTATGTTGGCAGCCAAAACAAAATTATGAAAGTGAAAGTGACAGTGATAATGAAAATTCTCGCCATAATCGGGGGAAGTTTACAAGTGAGAGAACTGGAGTTATCTCATTAACCACCCCAACAAACGCAAGAGAGGCGATACCAGATACATTAGGTATGTGTTTTGTTCTTATTACTGACAAGATAAGTGGTCTCCAACCTGTTTCAGGTGTTGTTGATCCAGTGCTTTGCTTGGAAAAAAAAAAAAAAAAGTCACATACAACCAGCGTCCCAGAACGGGTAGCTTTAGGTTATAATTGTGACTAGGTTATGTACGCCATATAAAGTGGCTAGCATTGCTTGCAATCAGGTAGCTCTTAAAAAAAAAGACTCATGCATTGTTAATGTGATCACAGAAGACAGACCCAAATACTGTCCCGACTGGCTACCAAGTCATCTACCGGACATAAAGGGGTGACCCGGTCACCAATGTCACTTTTTTATATAGCGGCCTCCCTGAGTATATGGCAAGAAACCACCCCCCCCCCCCCCCCCCCCCACCCCCCCCCCCTCCTCCAGCGACATAATATAATATTAAAAATAAAAATCCCAAGTGCTGTTTACATCTGGGTTCATCTGGGTAAAGATTCAACATCATTCGGGATATCCCCCCCCCCCCCCCATATTAGCTCTTCCTCAGCCGACAGTGAAGAATTTCCATACTGATGGTACCTGCTGTCATCTGGTTATTTACTCGTCTTGCCTTCCCTCTGAGTTTCGTATGACACCCACAGCCACTACTCTCTGCATCATTCTCTCCATGTACAGATTTTCAGTATCTTCCATTTCACCTGTTACCCTGTCCCATAGGTTTGAGATCACCTCTGCCTTGTGCAATTGCAGTATACCCTTAAATTGGCCCTTTCCAGCCAGCCTGTCTGCCAGCTCATTCCCAAAAACACCTAAATGGGCCCAGCAAAATATCCATGTTACTCTCACCAGCTGAGGCTTTTAGATTGATATAATCCATTCCATACAAAGAAAACTGGACCCGACTTTCCTGAGCATGCTTTGTGAATCTGACACTATAACAGCATGTATGGCTGAGATTTTTCTACCTATCGGACCGCCGCAGTTACTGCCTCAACCTCCATTCTCATGTTGGACATGGTGTCAAATGTGAAGCTCTCTTCAGTTATCCTTCCCTAATCTTGCTTTTTGCAATGAAGCCCCATCCACTTTTCCGGCCCCCCGGCAATCTGACCAAGCAGATTTTATCTTGATGGTATGTGCTGTGTTTTGTCTAATGTTTGACAATGCACAACTGAGATACTCTCTACATTAAACTGACTGTGCTGTTTTGTTGTCATGACTGTCAAAACTGAAAATCCTGATTATGACAAGTACAAATTTACTCAGTGTGATGCCCTCCTTGAAATTCCCTCCCACCCCCAGGTTGGTGACCACTGATCTAGATACTTTGTTCCTTATTTTGCTTAGATACTTTCTCTAGATTTTTTGTTCCTTATTTTGCTTAGATACTTTGTTCCTTATTTTGCTTAGATACTTTCTCTAGATATGTGTTCCTTATTTTGCTTAGATACTTTCTCTAGATACGTGTTCCTTATTTTGCTTAGATACTTTGTTCCTTATTTTGCTTAGATATTTTCTCTAGATACTTTGTTCCTTATTTTGCTTAGATACTTTGTTCCTTATTTTGCTTAGATACTTTCTCTAGATACTTTGTTCCTTATTTTGCTTAGATACTTTCTCTAGATACTTTGTTCCTTATTTTGCTTAGATACTTTCTCTAGATACCTTGATCCTTATTTAGCTTAGATACTTTCTCTAGATACTTTGTTCCTTATTTTGCTTAGATACTTTCTCTAGATACTCTGTGTTGGTTCCAGGCTTACAGTTTGGGGATGGAAAATAAAACCTACTGTCCGCCAACAAGCATGTCATAATCAAGTAATGCAGTTCCAACTTCATAGCAAACTGTTCACACCATGGTTGCTCCGTTCCTTTACACATTGATGCCTTGAGCATTTGATGCTGGATTACTTATTTTTTTTTAGTCCAATCACCACTCAGTGGGTGATATGGTTTACATCATGGCAGTCAGTTTTACTTCCCAAGACAAATCCTTGTTCCCATTTTAAGTTGGGTGAACGGATTTGAATCCAAGACCTTTGCTTCAGCGGGTAAGTGTCCATCAACTGCGCTTTCTTTCTCCCATTTATATTGTTTGTAGATGTAAAAATCAGTGTGTCATAATTCTTTTTTTTTTTAAAACTTTCCACAGAAATTAATGAAGAACAGGCAGCGCAGATTGAGCAGTTCATGTCTGATAAAACTCAACAAAAGGGCAAACATAAAGGCAGAAATCAAGGCCGTGGTAATGCACACAGCCGTTTAGGCAATAAACCTAATAATCGCCCTCAGCAGAATACTAAAATGCCTAATCGCCCTCAGCAGAGTCCAAAAATGCCTCAGGGTTTAAGGATGGGCCAATTTCCTAGAAGTATGGCAAATCAGAATGCTCAGATGGCATTCCCTTTTCCAGGTGGTCCATCGAATAGGGGTCCATTCCCAGGTGGCTTGTTAAATCCTCGGGGTCCTTTCCCCATGAGGCTTTTGAATCAACAAGGGCCATTTCCAGGACCACAGAACAACAGAGAGCCTTTTCCATCGAGATCTGGTAACCAAAGAGCTTCATTTGGAGCTGGACCTATGAACATGTTGATGGGTGGACCACAGAGGGGTCCTTTCCCACATTCGCAGAATAGATTCCCAGGACCCCAAAATCAGAGGGGACCTCCCAATCAGAGGGGACCTTATCCGGGCAACTCTCAGCCTCAGAATCTACTTAACCCTCAGCAGAGGTCTCAGCAGATGCGTGGACCACCGCCAAATCAGCTCAGACCCCAGAGCTCATTTAATCAGAGGATGCCAAATAACGCACAGCTAAGACAACCACCTCCACAGATGAGGCAGCAAGGCGGTCGAATGACAGGTCCAGGCATGGCAGGACCCAGGCCGTTTATGGGACAAGCTGAAGCTGGTATGAGATTTGTTAGAGCTGTTCGTCCTTCAGCAGCAAATCAGCAGGGTCAGCCGATCCCACCACTTTTAAGACCTGGCATGAATCTGGAGAAGCCGCCACAGGGAAATCAGCAAGTCAGGCCGGCTCAAATGAATCCTCTTGTAAGTATGCATGCAAAAATGTTGAAACAAACAGCTTGCTGAAATACATTCAAGAGTCATTCAAATGTGATATAGATCTGGTGAATGTTGTACAATATTTTTATCATTGCAGTTCCTGTCTCACTGTTGCTTGTTTGCCTGCTTGTATATATCTAGGTTTCAGGGCCCCATTTTAGGGGGAAAAGAAACACACTCACTTTTCATTCTAACAAGCGTGTCGTGAAAAGTTACTAAATGGTAGTTCACTGAAATGGGAGCTGTTGGGCAGACAGGGCAGATTTCACAGCCTAGCTGTAAACCACAGTTAATGTGCCAACCACTCTTTTCATGGCAAACACAGAAGTATTTTTGTTAATCGGTCTCATACTTATGGTTGTACTTTTTTCTATGTCTAATTCAGGAACCCCAAAAATTACCTTGTTATTGGAAATGGCTGGTTTTAAAAATGCGTGTGTGTGATTAAAAGTTCAGAATGAAGGCAGTTGGTTGTTCAACATCCCATAACAGGTGCTAGCTTCACAGTCATACAGTAGATCTCCACCTCTCTCTCTCTCTCCTCCTTTCTTTCCCAACATCACTTTTAAAACATTTGTTTGATAGCCTGTCATGCTGGGCTCGCTAGCGCAGTTGGCTAAACCAGACTGTGTGGCGACCGGGTTACGAACTCCCTGTGGTCCAGATTCACGCCCAGGGATACGCAGAAAATCCATATTCCCAGATTTATGGTATCTATCATGGAATCAAGGCCGAAGGGTTGCTTGTGATATCCACAGTACTGAGCTAAAGGGTTAATAAAAACTCCTGGTTTCTGGATGATACTTTAAAAAAAAAGAATGTCAGAAAAGATATAAACCCGAACGAAAAGTATATTAGCAAGCTTCACAATATAACAAATACAAACAAAACGTGAAAGTTGCGGCTATTGAGCCTTCATCAGCACACACAAAATAAACAATACTACATAGATACAAAACAATCACTTAGCTGGTATCACGATGCGGCCAGGTCAGGTTGTTACTCAGCAGAATGACCGCACGTTTAAAAAAAAAAAGATAGTCTGTTATTTAAACTGTTGCGTTTTTCTGCACATTTTCTTTCAGTGTGTCACTTCAGCATAGATTGAAGGGTTTTACAGCAGATTTAAATTTGGTGTTGTGTGTTGTGTGCGTGCGTGCGCATGATATATCAAGTTTTCAGTTGTCTTTCTAATTTTTTTTTTGTTTGCATATGTGCATGTCAATATTCTTTTTGTTTCAACTGCATATCCATAATCCATGCTTCTACATTATTAATGCGTGGCCTTTTTTGTTTATTAGAATATATTCTGCATGGCTCATTTCAGATAGCTAATTAAGAACACAGGGATAAAACACCGAGGTATTTTTGACATACTCATGTATTATTTTGAAATCTTAAAAACTCCCAACTTTAGTCAGGGCCCCAGTTTTGTTTTATTGTGGGGGTAGACCCTCTACCACCCCCGTCCAGCAAGCATGTCACAAAGGGCATCTGGTGCATCTGCTTGGAAGGTTAAAAGCCATCAGTCTTCATACAAATAAGCCCCATCTGTAAAAACTCAAGTTCTGAAACAAGACAGATGGTGAACACTAAGAAGAAGAAGAAAAAGAGGAGGAATCTGAAAACTTAGTCTGGGCTTTTTGGGGAGGTCTCTTTCAATTCATTCAGTCCCCCGTGTGGGTTCCGGGGCCCCATTGTAGGGGAAAACAAGAATAGACCCACTGCCTACCCAAAAGCATGTCGTAAGAGTCGACTAATTGGGGAGCTTCCTTTGAAGTCGGAGTGCATCTGCCGGAGAGGCAAGGAACCAACAGTCTGTATTCAAGAGAATGAGATTTGTAAAACTGATGCACACGCAACACTCAGGTTCTGGAGCAGGACTGCAGTTCAGTAGTGGACGAACAACCAGAACTTTCCGCCAGAGTGTACAGCTGGTGAACGTGAAGAAGAAGAAGAAGAATTCATTCAGTACAAGAACTGACCATACACTTGTTGGGATTTAATTACTTTATACATTTTTCGTAACTCCGAATGCTACATCTAGTTGTTACACTGTTAAATGTTATCGCATTTGACATCACTGCACACTGGGCTTTCCTATGTGTGCTCAGTCCTGATGCAGCAGCCACTGCAGAGTTCTTATGTTTCCATGAGAAGTTGGCTATAGTGTCTCCCTGTCTTGACCTCAAATATGGCATGGACATGCTTCATCAAACTTTACTCACATGCCACACAGCAGTGTAGAGTCAACAGTTTATTATCATCCCACAACTTAGCCCACACAGGGTTGATGATAATAGCTCTGTCCATGCTTCTTTCGGTTGGCATTGGTGCATTGCTTGCGATCTGGTTGGCTCTTTCTTTGCCTTTAACTCCAGCTTGCCCTGGTGTATAGATCTGGATGATGGAGGTTAACTTTGAATGCTTTCTACCCATTCAGGGTGTAAACTGTCTGTTGCGCTACCCTTTGCACTAACCCACTCTGCTCCGATTGTTCACTTAAACTGATTCTTTCTCATAATCTTTTAACTAGCATTTATTAGTTAAAAGATTATGAGAAAGAATCAGTTTAAGTAACAATCGGAGCAGAGTGGGTTAGTGCAAAGGGTAGCGCAACAGACAGTTTACAGAAATCTTCCTGGGAATAGAGTTACATAACACCTGCCTGATACAGAAAGATGTAATATCTGCTGTGATGTGATAGTTATTTATCTAGTTCCGAAAATTTTTATAAACATCGACCATTATGTCTTTAAATTATTTATTTAACAAAATATTTTTTATAAATGAATGCATATTTTAAAACATTTTTTTCCTGCTTTACTCATTAGATGCCACAAGATGCTCGCCGCGTGTCACCACATAATCGGTTGGGACCATTGCAGGGCCCAAACAGATTCCAGAATCCAGTAGGACAACCACAGAGACCTAGGTTCATGGTCAGGACACCGCCATCTGGTGCACCAATGATGAATGTACCAGTGTTCCAAGATAACCACCAGCAGTCTCCCATGGGTGGTCAGGGTGATGTTCAGACTCTCAGATCCCATAAGATCTATATTAACCCAAGATTCCAGGGTCAGCAGGTTAGAATGTTTCTTTATATGTTATTGAAGATCTACATTAACCCAAGGTTCCAGGGTCTGCAGGTTAGAATGTTTCTTTATTAGTTGTTAAGGATCTACATTAACCCAAGATTCCAGGGTCAGCAGGTTAGAATGTTTCTTTATAAGTTGTTAAGGATCTACATTAACCCAAGGTTCCAGGGTCAGCAGGTTAGAATGTTTCTTTATATGTTGTTGAAGATCTACATTAACCCAAGGTTCCAGGGTCAGCAGGTTAGAATGTTTCTTTATAAGTTGTTGAAGATCTACATTAACCCAAGGTTCCAGGGTCAGCAGGTTAGAATGTTTCTTTATAAGTTGTTGAAGATCTACATTAACCCAAGATTCCAGGGTCAGCAGGTTAGAATGTTTCTTTATATGTTATTGAAGATCTACATTAACCCAAGGTTCCAGGGTCTGCAGGTTAGAATGTTTCTTTATTAGTTGTTAAGGATCTACATTAACCCAAGATTCCAGGGTCAGCAGGTTAGAATGTTTCTTTATAAGTTGTTAAGGATCTACATTAACCCAAGGTTCCAGGGTCAGCAGGTTAGAATGTTTCTTTATATGTTGTTGAAGATCTACATTAACCCAAGGTTCCAGGGTCAGCAGGTTAGAATGTTTCTTTATAAGTTGTTGAAGATCTACATTAACCCAAGGTTCCAGGGTCAGCAGGTTAGAATGTTTCTTTATAAGTTGTTGAAGATCTACATTAACCCAAGGTTCCAGGGTCAGCAGGTTAGAATGTTTCTTTATATGTTATTGAAGATCTACATTAACACAAGGTTCCAGGGTCTGCAGTTTAGAATGTTTCTTTATTAGTTGTTAAAGATCTACATTAACCCAATATTCCAGGGTCAGAAGGTTAGAATGTTTCTTTATTAGTTGTTAAAGATCTACATTAACCCAAGGTTCCGGGGTCAGCAGGCAACAGGCAGAGATGATGACACAACTGTGAGGCTTTGCAGTGATCTACGAAACTAACCAGAAATTCTAACCCTGACTGTACTTTATACATGCTACATCACTTAGGCAGACGAGGCAAAAGAGATAGTAAGTAGAAGAGTTGATTAAATCAGTGCGTGACTAGATGTGACACATTCCTCTCAAAAGAAAATTAATGTACTAGCTTATGCTGTTTTCATACAGACAAAAGATAACTCTCATCAGAAGATGCACATCTAACTGGCTGCTTTCTATGCAAGGTCTGAGGCCCCATTTCGGAGGGGGGGGGGGGGGGGCTGTTTCCCTAAACGAAGCATGGGGTAAAAGCTGACTAAATCGGAGTGCATCTGCCTGAGAGGTAAAGAACCAATAGTCTGCATACAGATAAGCCAGGCTTGCAAAGTGGATGTGCATGGAAAACAAGTTCTAGATCAAGATTAAAGTCCAGAAGTGGATGAACAACCAGAACTTTCTCTAGAGTTTACCGCTGGTGAACATACAGAAGAAGAAGCTGGCTCTCTTTTTATTCCAGAAATTTAGTGTTTAGCTGTGCTGGTGAATTTATGAGTTTGAGGATAATTTTTGTGTGAGTATGTTTGATTTGAACATAGTTCATGTATATGTGTCTAATTATGCTTAAAAAGATAACTTTTATGAATGTTACTAGACACCTGCTGGAGATCCTAATCAAGGGAGAACTGTGAAAATGGGAGCGCCTATTCAACAGAAGTGAGTGAAAACTGTCTTCATCTGTGAATTGCCTCAGTCTCTGTTGCCTATATATATATATATGTTTTCTAATTTCAGAGCAAAGGTGTTAGATGAGTGAGTGCATGTTTACATATACACACGCATCGTTTTTAATTTTCAGAGCCAAGTTAGATGAATGAGTGCTTGATACATTTTCACATATACACACATCGTTTATAATTTTTAGATCAAAGGTGTTAGATGAGTGAGTGCATGCATGTTTTCATATATACACATATTGTTTATCATTTTCAGAGCCAAGGTGTTGGATGAATGAGTGCGTGATGCATGTTCACAAATACACATATATTTTCTAATTTTCAGAGCCAAGGTGTTACTGGATAGGGCAATCCAGATCCAGAATAAACAAGCACAGCCAGGACAAGCAGCTCAAGCTGGTATGAAGCGCAAGTCTACAGGGGAAGAGGCTGTGCCTATCAAGGTGATCAAGCCTAACGTCAGCACTCCTGGCAAGTCAGATGTGACACCCACCAGAGTTGTTCAAACTGGCAGTGTAAGATTGATGATTTTGTGTGTGTGTCTTTTCCCCACTGGCGATATGGATATTAAGCATTATATTTGTAGAATCAATGTATTGTATACTGAAGCAAAGACGTCTGCGCTGGCTGGGACATGTCTCCTGCATGGAGGATGGTCGTATTCCAAAAGATCTCCTATATGGTGAATTGGTAACTGGGAATAGACCTACAGGAAGGCCAAAGCTGCGCTATAAAGATGTATGCAAACGTGACCTAATAGATACCAGCATAGGCACAGAGACATGGGAAAAATCAGCTGCAGATCGACTACTATGGAGACAGAAAGTGAAAGACGGACTGTCACACTGAACACAACGAGCTGTGGAGAGGAGACACCGGAGAGTAAAACTGCCTCACAACGAGGGAGTATCTGCTTTTGTGTGTATCCTGTGTGGCAAAGGCTGCCATTCCCGCATCGGACTTAACAGTCACAGCAGATGCTGTTCCCAAAGCCAGCGGCACATCTCCATAGTCCCCCGGGACTGACGGATGCCATTAGTGCCATTATTTGTAGAATGTTTGTTTCATTGGTTACTTTCCTCTTTCTTAGGGGCCGAATGATCTCGAGTCATGGCATCAGCATCAAGTGCTGGAGGCCCCGGGTTCAGGCCCTGGTGAAGGCTGTGATTTTTTTCAGGTGCACTTCTAGTAATTTCCCATGGTCTCTGTGTGGTCTCGGCGTCTGTGGCCTAGGCGTTTGCAAACGCGCTTCGTAATGCTTGGGTGCCGGATTTGATCCCAGCTGCAGGCCTGGCGACTTGTGTTGGTTTCGACAATGGTATCGAGAAGCTGACCGTCCAGAAACCAGTGGCAAACTACTGGACATAAACTTGCCTAAAAAACCCACAACAGCCAAAAGAATGCTGGGGTTGATTCTGCAAACCCCCCCCCCCCCCCCCCCCCCCCCGTGTGGGTTCCGGGGCCCTATTGTGGGGAAAAGAATAGACCCACTGCCTCCCCAAAAGGCATGTCGTAAGAGTCGACTAACTGGGGAGCTTCCTTTGAAGTCGGAGTGCATCTGCCTGAGAGGCAAGGAACCAGCAGTCTACATTCAATTGAATCAGATCTGTAAAAAGAAGATGCACACGCAACACTCAGGTTCTGGAGCAGGACTGCAGTCCAGAAGTGGACGAACAACCAGAACTTTACGCCAGAGTGTACAGCTGGTGAACGTGAAGAAGAAGAAGAAGGTTCTGCAACGTCCTGTAAAAGATATGCAACTGCCTTTTTAACTCTGCGTGGTAAGATTGGATGCCTGTATATATTGTTGTGCATAGGAAAAAATCTCTTGGCAGTTAGAAATGAAAATGAGTAACCAAACGGCGCTGCCCAGGCAAAATTTGGAGTTAAAAATCGACTCAGGATGCTTGCCGGTGCTACGTTGAAATTCTTCGGACTCAAACTTTTGTTAGAAGTAGAATGGAGCACTTATGGCTTACTACCCTTGTGCCATGATGTTGAGCCGTTGTTTAAACCTAAACCATACTTACTTTCTTTAAGGTTCTCATCTATTTGTGTGCTTTTTAAAAATATATGAAAGGTACCTAATGAAATTAAACCAAAAATCAACGTTATCAGCTTGGAGACCGAAAAAAATACGAGCAGATTGGAGAGAAAGAAATCTTGTGTCAAGTTCTTTATTGTGGGAAAACTAACAGATACATATAAAATAAGAACACATGTGTGACAGAGATGCCTTGTGCCACTTGTGTTTTTTATACTTGCAGTAGACTGGATTATAAAAACAACAACAGCTACCACCAGGAATTGAATTCAGTAGATGTCTTCAAAACAGCTTTAATGATCGGACATCTCTTCTATCCCATTGATAGTATCAGATGCAAGATAAATTAAAAATACTTGAGAGATCATAGCAGTTAGGTTTAAAAATCCACAGAAAAAAGACAACAAATTGTGAGAATAAACCAGGAACACAGTAGTCCTAGTGTCTCTTGGTGGATATCCCACCTGTTTGGACTGTAATGTAGGTAGAGAGGAACTGATAGGAGATGTTAAAATGATAATACAAAAGGCAAGAGTATTCATAACACTAGGAAATTTGTGGAGGTCAGAGGAAATTAAAAACTAATACTAACCAAACTTGAAATGATTAATTCTAATGTCAGATAACTGCTGCTGTATGGAGCGGAAGCATGGAGAACAACCAAACTAGTTACTAATAAACTATACACCTTCAGTAATTGGTGCCTGAGCAGAATAGAGGGAATAAAATGATATGATAGAATCACGGATGTTGAGCTCTGGTAGAGAGCTAAACAGATTCCAGTGAATCAAGAGGTGAAGAGAAGCTGCTGGCGTTAAATAGGACACACATTAAAAAAAAACTGAGAATAATATAACTAGAAGGGCTTTAAACCGGAGCCTTCAACAGTTCGTAATAAAGATAGACCAAAATACTCATGGAAAAGGAAACAAGGGAGTGAAGCTGAAGAGATGGGAATGATATTGGGGGGGGGGGGGGGGGGGTGAGATGCATACGATAGCAAAGATAGGACAACTTGGCGTGAGTTGGTTCAGGGCCTTTGCTCCATTGGGGAATAAAGGGCAGAAAAAGAGAGGAGCGTGTTGATGGGTAGGAGGTACACAGCGAAATGTCTTAATTAATATATAGGATTTTTTTTTTAAAATAGCGCCATTAAAACAAATTATTTTTTATGTTGAACTTTGTAATTGACTTTTTAATTTCAAGGAGCCAGTGAAAGAGGATCCCCAGAAAATACAAACTCTTTTAGACGAGCAGAAACGACAGAGAGAAATGATTCAGAGGAGAAAAGAACTGGCAAGGCAGAAACAAGCTGCCCTCAAGCGAATGGAGTTGGAAAAACGGCTGAAAGAGGAAGGTAACCTGGGTAGTTTAATATCTTAATATTTTAGAAGTTTTTTTTTAAGTTTGATGAATTAAATAGCATTGTCTTGTTCCAGTTCTAAATTGAAGCAAAAAAAAAGACTTTACACTGATTTAAAAAAAAATTATTGAATAAGTTCATTTGTTCTTCTACTTGAAAAGTTGGTAGTTGGCACAATCCCAACAGATCATGTACTGATCAGATAGTCACACTGCGCTTAATAATAGAGCAAAGTACTGAATTGAATTCACTTTATGTATATTGGATTCATAGACTACGAAAAGGTCTTTGACAGTATTGATAGGGAAGCCTATGGAAATTAATGCAGTGTTGGGGGCATATGCTTCATTGGAGATTAAAAAGCAGAAGTAGAAGTCAACATTGTAAACACTTCTTGTAGCATTTGTTTTTATTGTATTGGAATTTCTGTTGACGACATGTAATTGTGTATTTCTTTAGGTAAAACATTAGAGGACATAATGGGAACTTCAAAGGCTGAAGGCACAGCAGAACAGCAACAGACGCAACAAACTGTACCTCCTGCTAAGCAGATTAGTGGCTCAGTTGCAGCCCGTTTAGGACCACCACCTTCTCAGCAACAAATCAGAGGTCCGCCTCCACAACAGCAAGGGCCGCTTGCAAGACCTGCTATGACAAGGATAAGGACACCTTTACCTCAGAATGCTTCTTCAGCCTTCCAGAGGTCCCCACAGTTTTCAGTTCCCCAGCAGTCTCAGATTTTGCAGGTTAGAGCACCTGGGCAGACTTCTGCCTTTCCTAATCGGCCTCCTTTACAGCAGGATCCTAGAATGAGAGGACCTCCACCAAGTAATGATTCAAGACACAGAGGACCTCCTCCAGATAACTTCAGATTTACAGAACCGCCACCATCTACAAACAAACCTAGGTTTCCACCTCCTGCAGTGAACCAGTTTCAAACCCCTCCACCTAATTTTGATACCAGATTCCAGGCACCACCACCATCACAGGATCATTCATTTAGAGTTCCCCCTCCAACTGCACCTCAGAGATTAAGAGCTCCTCCACCTGTGGCACAACCTAAACTACGGACTGTCTCACACCAGACGACCTTGCAGCCATCTACTGCAGCTAGCCATACTGTTAGGTACACAACTCCACCACCGGCCCCCACACAAACTGTGAGATTCCAGGTATCTCTGTCAACACCACCACCACCAGTACCAACTCAGCCACACACACCCCAGCAGTACTCTACACATTACACCCCAGCCAGCGCTCCAGTTTCTCAGCCACCCAGCCATTATTCCCAGCCCACCCAGGCAGAACAAGCGATGTACACCACACCTGTTCCACAGTACCCTCCACCCTCTGCCAGCTACCAGCATTCAACCTACTCTCACACTGCAGAGCATCAGTATGAGCCCAGTACTCACCAGCCGCCTCCCGCCGCATCATCCCAGACTTACTATCAGCCAGCAACGTCACAGTATCACCAGGACACACAGCACTTTCAGGCTTCAGGGACGCCTCAGTACCAGGTGCCTCCGGCCCAGACACAGTACCAAGCTCCCCCAGCGCAGACCCACTATCAAGTCCCTCCACCACAGACCCGCTATCAGCCTCCTCCCACTCAGCCTGCTCCCACCCAACCTCCTTCAACTCAGCCTCAGTACCAAGCTACACAGTACCAGGCGACCCAGTACCAAGCTTCCCAGTACCAGACTACCCAGCAGTACCAAACTCCCCCATCTCAGCATTATCAGAGTCCGGCTTTGACATACAGCACTCCAGATCCAAACTATGATCAGACAGGTGTTGATTACTACAGTGAGCCTCAGCATATCCAAACTGTTACTAGTCAGGTATGTTGTTATTTATTTTCTTTCTTAATTTCTTTTTGTTTTTATGTTTGTGTGTGTGGGTCTCTTCTCTTTCCCCCCCCCCCCCCCCCCCCCCACCCCAAACATAACATGAGCATACTTGTGCCAGTTAATCACCATTTTAAAGCCAAAACTTAAAGGCAACTTGTCATAGACATTAGAAATGTTAAGTCTGCATTCTTTGATTGTGTTTATGAGAAGTGAAAAATAATTAATATTGCAATAACTAACAGTTTGGGGGTGACAGAGGATTCTGCACAATATTATATTGTAATGTTGCTGGGGGGCAGGGAGCCAAAACATGAATTGAAATGCTTCATTGTATTTGCTAAGAATAATAAGGTGAGAAAAAGCAGCCATTTCGAGGAACTATTATATATATAATACAGCACTGCCTATGGAAGAAAGCCATTTATAAACCCTTATATACTTTCATGATGTTTATTGTTCATTTTTTGTCCATTATAGCATCCTCTTTATTGCACATTGAGCATATCCATAAATGCCCAGAATTTCTCCTCAGCCTGTTCCTCTGTGTGTTTTTGCTGACTGCTATCTTTTATAACCTCTGTATAAAGGAATGCAAAGTCAGATATGTAAAATAAAAACTGCAGTGACCTGCAAGAAAAACAGCTGATTTAGCAAATATAGATTAAAGGTAAGATTACAAATGACTTGTCAAAAGACAAATAATATTAAAGGACATTAGTAAGAAATTAAGAAGTCACGCTGGAGACAAAAAAAGAATAAAAGAAATAGATCAGTTTTCCCCTATGTAGGGTTCCGGGGTCCTATTATGGGGACAAGTAAAATAGACTTATGGTCTCCCCAACCAATATATTGTAGGCGTTGACTAGTTGAGACTTTCTCCAAAGCCGGAGTGCACCTGCCTTAACATCAAGTAACAACCAACTGCACACAAGTAAACCAGAAAAATGGATGTACACTGCAAAACTCTGGCCCAGGCACAAAGCCAGTCCACTACACAGAAATAAACCAGAAAAATGGATGTACACACAAAACTCTGGCCCAGACACAAAGCCAAAGTCCACTGCACATAAATAAGTCAGAAAAACAGATGTACACGCAAAACTCTGGCCCTGGCACAAAGCCAATATCCAAATGGATGAAAACCAGCAATTTTCGCCGGTAAACAAAGAAAAAAAGAAAAAGATCCATTTACTTCTGTAAGTAACAGGAAGCAGTTTTGATTGCAAGGAAACATAAAGAAAGGAATTATGATATGCATTGAGAAAACAATAGCAGCCTTTAAAAGCCTAAACAAAATTTAGAACTCTATACAATTTTAAAAGTAAATTAGAAACCATTCCAGTATTTAAGTTTGAACATATGCCAGTGAAAGTTGGAAAACCACAAAAACCTTTTTTTAAAAAAACGAAAGTTGTATGTTGTTATCGATCCAGCGGCTCATGAGCTTTGGCCCAATGCCATGTAAATATTCATGGCATAGTGGTGCTGGGGTGACTGTGGATTACCTACCTCCCCGGGCAGCAGCTAGAAATGCCCTGTACCAGTTCTAAAGGAGATATGGGTTGTGTTTCTGCCTTCCCCTTTAACACGTAGCTAAGGTGTGCTCATTCCCCGCCACCAGATAACCTGCTGGTTTCGCTGAGCTCTTCATGGCTCTAAGCATGGCCTAAGCATGTGTAGTGGGGCAACTGGATCGTCACGTCCTGAGTCCCTGTGCCTTCACGATAGTTTCCGGTATTCAGGGGGGTTAGCATACTTGTTTCCATTCCTAAGACTGTTCAGCACACGTCCGGCTCCTTCCCTCCCATAGGGGGCAGTACGGTGTCGTGCACCAGGTTTATTATGGAGTTTGCTCCTCTAAATCCATTGTGTTTTGCCTGGGGATTCACACCCCCAGTTACCAGGACTACCTCGGGGAGGCTGTGACTCTTCGCCACGCACAATGGTCTTGAGGTGAGAGTTTTTGCTAGGTCAAGAGGCTGACACCGCAGGTGACGCTCCTTTCGTGAACAGATATTCACTAGACCTAGGGTGAAGTAAGGGGGTGGGGGGGGGGGGGGGGGGGGGGGGGGGGGGGGGGGGGACCACTACCCAGAACACCAACACTTCTTACCCCTGCCTCTACAACGAAAGTTGTATACATTACAAAATAAATGCCTGAGAAAAGTTATTCATATTAAATTATGAATTCAAGAAAGAGAACGAATTAAAAAAAAAATGTATGGGCAACAATTGGTATCAACAGTTGCAGGACAAAGAAGATAGTGATATATTGACTATATCCTGGGTAGAGATGAACAGAGAATCACCATACAGGCACTTCATTGGGAAACATATAGATTGAGAAAGCTACCCTTAAACAGACATTGATGAGAAAGGTCCGAGATACTGGACTGCATTCCATCCGTGATATTGAAACAACTGCACAAGATAGAACGGAATGGAGGGACAGACGGAGCCATATGTGATGTACCATTCTACTGAGAATCCATCTACCCTGCTGCTTCGAGATACCATTGAAGTGATTTTGTGTATTTGTGTAGTATTGTTTGCTTTGTATGTGCTGATGAAGGCTCCATGGTCGCAACGTTCACATTTTGTTTGTATTTGTTATATTTATTGTGAAGCTTGCTAATATACTTTTCGTTCGGTTTTATATCTTTTCTTTATAAATGATGTAACACTGCATAAAAAGTGATTATGATGGCAGTAAAAAAAAAATCCAAAATTTGCACACTGTAAAGTACATATAACTTATACTTACTTACTTACTTAGTCGCTCCTCTTCTACCTTGGGGTGTAGAGGTTTGCCAGAGAGATCGCCAGACGTCTCTATCAGCAGTTTTCCTTCTGGCTTTGTTCCATTCCAGTCCTCTGTCAGTCAGGGACTGTCGGATGTTGTCTTCCCAGCGCACCCTGGGTCGTCCCGGAGGTCTGGTTCCCTGGTTCTTAGCCTCCCATGCTTGCCATGGTGGCCGATTTTCTCCCATTCTGCACACATGTCCAAACCATCGTAACTGTGACTGATCCACTCGGGTTAGTAAGGGCTGGGTATCAAGATCTTGACGTATTGTCTGATTGCGGACTTTGTCCCTTCTTGTCACTTGGACCACCTTTCTCAGGTATCTCATTTCCGAGGCCTGCAGCTGGCTTCTGTGAGCTGTTGTCATTGCCCATGACTCACACCCATAGGTCAACATATAACTTATACATATCTTTATTTTAATCATGAAGGTGACTGCAACACCATCCCCTGTTGGTGACCAGCGTACAGTTCAGCACCAGATACCAGTTGGCCAGCGTATTCAGACAATAGGGCAGCGTGTACAGCCTGTTTCAGGAACTCAGATACGTTCAATCATTCACAATGTGGCTGCACAACATAGCCAGGCCACGAAAGATCCATCAGCCCATCTGATTCAATCCCAAGCTGCAGTCAGCAAGGTCAGTTTTATGAGCTTAAATTTTTCATCACAAAACAAACAAAACAAAACAAAAAACACTTTTGGCTTTTGAGGCATAAACCTTGCATAGTTATTTTATAAGCACACATTTTCATTGTAGCTTGCAAACAGCATTCATTTTCAATTGTTGTTGGTGAAATGTACAAGATTTGAGCCTTTCGCTCCTAGAAGGTCCTTCCCCCTAGTATTTACAGGTTTTTGATGACATGACGTCTTTGGGAAGTGGCCACTATGTCTATATAACAGTTTTGGTATTGGTTGCAACCACATAGTGTGTAGACATTGTGGATATCATCGCTCTTTCTTTGTCTTTCTGTCTCTCTCCCCCTCTCTCTCTCTCTCTCTCTCTCTCTCTCTCTCTCTCTCTCTCTCTCTCTCTCTCTCTCTCTCTCTCTCTCTCTCTCTCTCTCTCTCTCTCTCTCTCTCTCACTCACTCACACACACACACACACACACACACACACACACACACACACACACACACACACACACACACACACACACACACACACACACACACACACACACACACACACACACACACACACACACACACACACACACACACACACCACACACACACACACACACACACACACACACACACACACACACACACACACACACACACACACACACACACACACACACACACACACACACACACACACACACACACACACACACACACACACACACACACACACACACACACACACGTACACACACAATAATTTGGGGTAAAATTTCTGTATTGGTCATGACAACATCACTTTGTTTCACATGGCTTGTCAACAAAAACAGTTTTTTTTGTCCAAAGGGATGAAAGCAGTTAATTATTTGCTCTTTTGTCTTTATTAATTACTTTCATGCATTTAAACAAATTATTGTTTTTGTGAAACTATTAAAAATATGCTTTTTAGTGTCTTGGTGGTCACAGTGGCAAACTCCTAATTAGTGTCCTTTGCAACATGCATATTATGAAGCCTGGGTACTCACACAGAGAAATCAGTTGTATTTCATACCCACTGTTCGACCTTGATGACCAGTCTTTAGTACTGCAGTTTACAAAGCTGGGTCAAATTAAAATGCAGCTGAAAACAAAGCGAGTCCTTTCACCTCTGGAGATAGAACACCTTATGTTCTGTTTTGATAATTAATGTTA